CACTCACTCATTCACTCATCTACTCCCTCACTCATCCACTCAACTCCATCCATCTGTCACCCATCCATCCATCCACTCAACACCTCCATCCATCCGTCATCCATCCATCTATCCATTAACTCCCTCACCCATCCACTCACTCATTCACTCATCTACTCCCTCACTCATCCACTCAACTCCATCCATCCATCCATCCATCCGTCACCCATCCATCCACTCAGCTCCTCCATCCATTGTAGTATTAAGTTATGGGGTTGGGTGAGGGGACCAGCCCCCACCTGCTGCTACTACTACTACCCACGGGTTCGGTAAGCACAATTGTACGGTTGAGATATATAAGTATTATATTAAAGTCATCGATAGAATGAGAGATACAATAATGCAGTTAGACACCTTACATAGTAGCATTGCTCACCTCAGCCCAGCTTGGCGGTCCACGTGGAGAGATGGAGGGGAAGGAGGGCAAGGGAACAAGGGAGAGAGGACTGGAGAGGAGATCCAGAGAGGTCAGAGAGAGGTCAGAGAGCTCTATATTGCTGACCCATGCCTATATACCTTTTGGGGGCATGCCAGCCCATTATTTACAGGTAGAGACATACGTCACAGGAAGGGGTTACACTATAGGCTACACAGAAATGAGGGGGTGGTACACACACCAGGAAGAGGAGGGACTGGGGTATACATGTGACAAGCTGGGTGGATCCCAGATTCAGGATGGCAGCTCAACCTTGACCTGTTCCCTGGGTCTCCTTAGGAACCATTATCAGTAGGGTCTAAACTCCACCTACTGGAGCCCAGTCCATTGTCCCCAGGGGCAGGGAGCAGGACCCACTCCAGTTTGGCAACTGATGGCCCTCAGGGGGGGAATGCCTGCGCATCTGACCTCCCCCGACAATCCATCTGTCATCCATCCATCCGTCTATCCACTAACTCCCTCACCCATCCACTCACTCACTCATCTACTCCCTCACTCATCCACTGAACTCCATCCATCCGTCATCCATCCATCCACTCAGCTCCTCCATCCATCCATCCACTCCCTCACACAGCTATTTCCTTGCTCAACCATCCCCGCCCTCCCTCAGCCATCCACTTCCTCATCTACTCCCTTGTGGGGTACCAGCCCCCATAACTGAACGGGTCCAGGGGGAGGTTGTAATCGAGGGGTCGATTAAAAAGTCATCAGACAAGATAAGGCATGCAAGTGTTCACCTTCGGGACCATCATGACTTCAGGAGCCAGGACCAGAGTATATTTCCAATCAAGGCTGATATACTCGGGGCGTGGGTGGGTGGGCATGCAACCCCCCCTAATTACAGGTAACCATACATGTAACAAAGTGGGCTGTATCCTAACCCTAAAGGTCCCTGAGCACACTGGAGGAGGGACCTAGCACCAGTGCCAGGGCAGGTAAGGGGAGAGGCCGTCTTCAGAGTTTAGAGAGCAATAGCACATGTCTGCCTCTAGTTAAAGCTGCCGGCTAGATGCAGTCAGCCATGTGCTTGGAAGAGGTTACTTTGAGGTAGCACTATTTGGGGAGGACATAGCGGGGGACAATATTGATTATGAGAATGTGACTGGGACTTACCTCCAACTCACATGAGTGAAGGCCTCCCTCCACCCCAGAAACCCAGCCTGCCCGGTTTCTTAGTGTAAGAGAATAAAGGATTTGTTGGATCCACTCTGCCCGCTCCCTGCTTCCCTCACTCCCTCGCCCCTTCACTCACGCACTCAGCCATTCCCCCATTCGTGCACGCATTCAGCATTCGCTTGCTCATTCGTGTCCTCCTCCTCCTCAGACACGCACATTCCTCATGCATTATTCATGTAGTCAGAGCCTCGTTCCCACATTCACTTTTTCACTCATTCTTACCCTCTCATTGATACCTCCAGCAAGCATAGTTAAGTATTGGGGGTCCTCAGGGCCCCCGGGAGCCAGGGACAGGGAAAGCACACAAAGCCACCCACGAGACACACTTCACCCACGGTGGGGAGCCTTCCGAGGAGACGCTGCGGGTCCAACAGCTCTGTCACCGAAGTCGACCCAAGACTTAAAGAAGAACAAAGTCTACAGCACCTCTTCCAAGAGAGAGGTGGAGGGTGAGGGAAGCAGGGAGCGGGCAGAGAGTGGATACAACAAATCCTGCCGCTCACCGTCAGCCCTGAGCGTGCCCTCAGAGTTCTTGTTCCCCAAACTCTGAAAACGTGGGAAAGGAGCAGGACCCGAGTCCCTCAGGAACGTCGGGCCTGCCCTGGTCCCACAGCCTACCCCAGAGGGTGAAAGCCCACCCTTGGGCATGTTTATGGAGAAAGCGGCACTGCTGGTCCTGATGGTTTATTTTTTTAAATGGCCCTGCCATCTTTCCGCAGTGCTTTTGGCTAGAGCTTGTAGACCCCATCCTGCCTGGGGCGGGGGGAGCGCTGAGGTGATGTGCACGCGGTTTCAGCTCTCCTGGCCGCTCCCCTTGTCTTAGAGCTGCTAAAACACAAACACCGTCTTCGCCTTTCCACGACTTCTTGGAGAGGGCCCTGTCTGGACATCAACCTTCCCCTGGGGCTGGAAGGTTCTCAGCCCAGCCGCTGGGCTCCAGGGAAGGGCTCTGCTCAGTTTTCCTCTCCGCTGGCCCGCTCTCCTTTCAGCACGTGAAACTGCTGCCCGGGGCGGGGGCTCCAGCTGGAGGTGGGACAGTGATGTGAACAGCCCAATTATCAGGGGAGCCAGCCCCTAACACATCATCACCGGTCCAGTAGTCGCAATTGTTCAGCGATAATAAGCAAAGATTACAGTAAAGTCGTAGAGAATAAGAGAGATAGAAGAGAGAGTGAAATAATGGAGTCAGACACATTTCATGGTAGCATGCTCACCTCAGCCTGGCTTGGTGGTCCACGCTGGTGGTCCACGTGGAGATGGGAGACGAGAGGGCATAAGAAAGCGATTTATATCTAACCTAAGGCTTATCTATCTTTGGGGGTATGCATGCCTCCTAATTACAGGTAAAGACATACGTCACAGGAAGGCATTGTACAATAGGCAATACAAGCAATAGGAGGGGGATATACAATGGGCATAAGCTTACCAGGAAAGGGATGAGCTAGGGGTGTACACATGATAAGAAGGGGTTGAGCTAGGGGTGTACATGTGACAAAAAGGGCGAACCCTAGATTTATGATGGTGCCCTAACCTTGGTCACCCTTGAGTGGGCTTGACCTCCCTGGGTTATCCTACAGGAAAACAATCTACTACTATCCTTATCAGAAGTGCGTGGGACAGACTATACAGTCTGATTGCTCTAGATGGCTGATAGCCCTTAGGGAGAATAACCCCTGATCCACTTCTGCTGACCTCCTGGTGTATAGCCATTTGCCACTGTAGCAAGCAGCCAAGTTTGGCATATATTTGGGGAAGACAACTTGGGAGAACTCTTTCTGTTTCCCACACCCGATGTCACCGCTGCACTTCTGCTTCATAGGGGCCCACAGGGCAAGACAGGCCTGCCTGGTGGGGTGGCGGGGTCCCCAGATTATAACCCCACCACAGTCCAGGGAGCACACAACCTCATCTTTCTCCCTTGCAGCTACTCATGGGGTTGACTGCTGGCTGGGAAATTAGCCATCCACTGCTTATCCCCCTGAGCCATCAGACTCCTGGAAGGCCCTGTCTTCGAGGGAAGGTGGGGATTTGGGTCTCACTCTCTTGGAAGGCTGTGACTCGGGGTACCCTCCACACTGATCTTGTCTAATTAACATTATCCTCGAAATTAAATCCTCTTCAGCACGAATCACCAGAGTGGAGGTTGATCACACTGGTCACAATGCTAGCCACGTGACACACATCTTGGGGGAAGCAATTCAGGCGTGTCCGTGTGGATATGCCACATGTGAGACTAGCCCAGGTCAGAGGAAGATGGGGCTGCTATTCCCATAAAAACCCACAGTCCCAGGAACCCTGGGTAGGGTCTGGGGAGGGGGGCAACCAATGAGCATGGTTAGTGGCTTGGGAAACTTCCAGAATGGATTCCTAGTCACCTGCACCATTTCAAGATCCTGCTGCTGTAAGGGTCACCATTCTACCTCTCCTCCCACCTTGTCTCCACGACTTTTCATGTAAAACCCAGATGAGGTCACCTGACCCTGCTCTGGGCCCTGAGAGGGTTGCACTGGGACACTGGACATGGGCAGGCAGAGCCCATGCCACATCAATCAGGGACCTGTGGGCAGGACCCGGTGAGCAGCCGGCCATCACCCAGGCGCCCTGGAGGGTGGGGGGGCATGTCACTGGAGATTCGGGGGATGGACAGGCCATCACCCGGGCACCCTGGGCCCACCAGGTGGTAGGTCTGTGCAGCGGAGCCATGGTCATGACAACCTTGGTGTGCTCACCAGTAGCTTGAAGGCCAGGCCTGGCGGTACTGGGGCGTCTGGCATCCTGAGTCACAGAAGGCCATGTCACAGTGGACTGTGCACCACAGTGTCCCCGCCAGAAGGTCCCCAGGAGCCATTCAGGTCTACACTGCCTGGTCTCAGCCACTTGTCCTTGGTCACAATTGGCAGTGGTCAGCAGAGACGGCCAGCTTGGTGGCTCCTGTGATGTTCATGCTGGGGGGGGGGGGTGTGTGTTCTAATTTGGGCGAACCATGTGGCCAGCCAGGCACAGCTGCTGGGTCTGGGCAGGGCTGTTTTTCAGGGAAGCTCCTGAACCCCCGCTATGTATATCGGGGAGCCGGGAGGAGGGCCCGGTCCTTGGCGTGCCCAGCGCCCCTGGCGGGTGAGTGAGGGTCTCCCAGCTGGCCCTCCCCCTGGGCCCCTGGGCACCCTCTACCCCCGGGTGTCTCATGTGGCCTCAGCACCTTCTGGCCCCTGACTAGCTGAGTGTGGGACACACTCAAACACTCCCATCCGGGAAGAACCTGGCCTCCACAGCCAGGCACACATGCCTGCTGGCCCTGCAGCATCGGCCTCCAGGTGCTGGGCCAGACTGCCCCCTGGACTCCGGTCTGTGCATAGGCCTCTCCTGGGACAGCATGCAGGGCGTGCCCTGCTGCTGGCCCACCCGACATGTGTCCCAATAAGGATTCTGGGAGGGGACTGTAAGCTTCCTGAGGGACAGGGGCCTGAGTAGAAAGGGGCCACGTCACCTGCCCAGACCACGGCCAGGACATGCCAGCAGGCTGCTCTAAGCCAGCCCACAGGAGGGTGCTCCTGGATCAGGGAGGGGAGTCCCAGGGGCTGGGAGAGGGGTGTCCACAGGCTGGGCTACTAGAGAAGGCCTAAGAGGAGGGGTACAGGGAGGACCAGGAGGAGGGGTACAGAAAGGGGACCCAGGAGAGTGGGAACACAGAAATAAGGGGGCCCAGGAGGGAGGGACCCAGAAGAAGATCGCCTCCCTCCCCCAATGACAGCACAGGAGTGTTGCCTCCCAGTCTTGCGTCAAGGAGTCATGGGGGTCCTGTTGCAGCCCCAGAGGTTGTAAACTTCCATCCACTTGGGGGGACTGGGGCCCTGCATGGCCTGGCGCAGGGCAGAACTGTGAGCTGGGGTGCTGGGAGGGCTGGGCCCTGGGCCAGCACAACGGACACGTCTCCAGACCCCTCTCCTGAGACCCCAGCACTGAGTGAGTGAGTGTGTGTGTGTGTGTGTGTGTGTGTGTGTGTGTTGCCATGAGGGTGACTGGGAGGATTCACGGGGCACAGGATGGGATACCCCATCATGTGTCCCCGCTGCCACAAGAGAGTGCCCCCACGCCCCGTGTCGAGGCCTGGGACTCTCAGCGGGCGGCCAGGGAGACGCAGCTCCGCCCCTGAGTGGGGATCCGGACCCTGAAACCAGCGCCTGGGCCGCGGGCGAGGGGAGGGCGCAACAGAGAGGCTTCCCGTGCGCGCGCGCGCGGTGGCACTGTGGCGCGCTCCCGCCCAGGCCCGGCCATGTCCCGCCCCCAAGTCCCGGGGCCATTCCCCGCCCCCGTCCCCCGGCCGCTCCCCGCTGCTGTTGGCGCTTGGCCCGCGGCGGGAGGGACGGAACCCGGCGGTGGCGAGGTCACCCCGCGTCACGGGTCCGCCCCCGGCCCGCCCCCCGGCCCGGCGGCCGCATTTAATGGCGCGGGCGGCCGCTCCTAGGGCGGCGGGCGCAGAGAGAGCCGACATGTCGGGGACCCGCGCCTCTAACGACCGGCCCCCCGGCGCGGGCGGCGTCAAACGAGGACGGCTGCAGCAGGAGTTGGCGGCCACCGGCTCGCGCGTGACCGTGGTGCTGGGCGCGCAGTGGGGGGACGAGGGCAAGGGCAAGGTGGTGGACCTGCTGGCCATGGACGCCGACATCATCAGCCGCTGCCAGGTGGGGCCGGGCGGCCGCGCTCCCCTCCCTCCCACCCTGCGGGGCCCTGAGGACCCTCATCCCGGCTCCCGCCTCCTGGGACACCCGTGGGAGCGGCCACCCCGCCGCGCACATGCACTGCACTCACGCGCACCCACTCACGCCTACAGCCACCCCCATCCCGCACTATAGCCCAGCCCCGCCGCCCCTCCCCGCCGGCTCCCGTAGGGCAGGGGGCCAAGGGCTGGGCTATAAATACAAGTGCTGAGGAGGGGACACCCGATCCTGGGGCGGGGGGGCGCCCCCTCCCCCTCATTCCGCGGAGTTCCTGGAGGGGAGCGGAGTGCCGCGGGGCACCTCGGGGTCCGGCCAAAGGGGAAGGGGCCGCAGGAGCCCGGACACCGCGAGCCTGGGCGGGGCCTGGAGGGGGCGGGGAGACAGCCCAGGCTCCTGGCAGGTGGCCGAGTGGGTGGTGGCTGCAGGAAACGTGCTCCAGCTTCGTCCTCTGAGGACACCGAGCCGGCCGGCCAGTCATGCCCCTCTGGCCAGGTGGCTAGACCTGCTGCCCTGGGGCTGAGTTACAGCCAGTTACAAAGGGCTGGGCCCTGGCCACCCTCTGTCCCTGCCAGGCTGAGCGCCACTGTGGACCTCCCCACCCACCACAGGAGGGAGAGTGTGGTGTGAACTGGCCCTGCCTACCCACGGGCTCCAGGTTTCCTGGGGACCACCCCCTCTGTCCTCAGCCTCAAAACAAACCCTCCTCCCTGAGAGCTCCCTGACTGCCCCTAACACGCCCCTCCCTCTAGCCTCTCTTCAGTCCCTGGGGACATTGTGGTTTTCCTCTCTGGGGCCAGGCTGCAAAGATGGTTCCAGGACAAGCCTGCCACCCTGCCAGCACCTCCCCCACCCCCTCCCTGCCCCCCACAAACTTCCGCTCTGCATACAGAGGCTGGCTCTCTTTTTCCCCAAGGAGCCAGGAGCTAGGGGTGGTGGGTGACTTCCATCATGGAGAAACTGAGGCACAGTGGGTTGAGAGGGGTTAACTGGCACTCACCTACAGTACGGCCTCACTACAGCCTCCCCCCTGCCAACCTCCCACCACTACAAGAGAAGACTCAGGCTTTTTCCCTGCCCTCCCCCAGCAAGACACCCCTCCCAGAAGCAGACTCAGCCTTCCTCCCTGACCCTCCTGCAGAACCCCCCTGACAGGACCCCCAACTCCCCTCTTAGCAGGAGGGCTTCCACCCAAAGGCCTTGCCCACTAGTGTCCCTGGGAGCCTGATACTGTATCTCTCAGGAAGGGTGTTTGTCCCCACCCAAGCTGGGTGGGGACAGGGCTCAGTGGGTGGCCAGGGCCAGGGCTATTGGGGCTGCAGGGTCTCCTGGGCTTTCGGTCATCCTAACTGCCATCTCCATCCCCCATGGCTGCTCCGCTCCAGTCAGCCTGTCCTCAGATGCACTTTGTAAAGGCCTTTGATGACCTTTGACCTGCCCAGAGCCATCTGGTGGGGGCTCCTAGGGGCCTTATCTCCTTGACCTGGTCCCAGGGGTCAGACCTCCCAGGACCGTCTTCCTGTCTGGCCAGGGTCACACGTGTTGCTCTAAGTCATGTGGCTTCTGCTAAGTCCAGCATGTTCACCCGCTCCTCTACCCACTGCCCAGCCAGCCTGGGGCCCACAGTTGGCAGACATTGTGCCCCATGCTTCACACCCGCCTCTTGGGGGCCTGCACCTCCCAGGCCACCTTTGTGACCCTTGTCCTTCTCTGCCTGGTCCAGCTGTCCCACCCCTGCCCCTCAGGCAGGCACGGCCCAGCCCAGGTCACCTCTCTGCTGTCACATCTAACCAAGTAGTGGCCTCAGTGTTGACCCTGACTCTTGATCCCACAGGCCTTGGCATAGACATTCATCCTGCCAGTCTTCCTCTGAGGCCCTGCTGGGTGGACATGAACCATCAACCCATCATCTGACATCTGACATGCATGCATGGTCACCACTGTGTCCCCCCAGAGCCCCAACACACAGCCTGCCTCCCTCCCAGACCCTGCATGGTGCGCCCGTGGCCCTGTGCCTGTCTTTCCCTTGGGAGTTCTGGTGCTGTCCTCTAGCCAGGTCTCAGAGGCCAGACTGAGCTCATGTCCTCGGGGATGCATCCTGGGGAATGTGGAGTGGCCCGTGGTTAGTGCACCCAGGCAGTTGGGGACTCCTGACTCCACCTGCACTCTCCGGACCCAGTCCCCAATGGTGCCCAGGTCAGAGATGCCAGGGGCACGTGGGCACTGTGTGGCAAGTCATCCAGAGTGGTGTCAGGATCCCTTCTGAGTGGGGATGGGCCCCTCAGTGGGATCAGGGCCTAGCAGCTCCATCTGAGGGGCCAGGGAAAGAGGTCTGGGATCAAGGACTGTGGGTGTGGCACTCAGGGAGTAGGGGACTCATCTGCAGTTGGACAAGTCCTTCAGTGGATTAGCAGAGGTGTGGATGACACATGTACTCACCATGCACACACCTGCACACGTGTGCACATTTATGTACATAGGCACACATGCACACCAGCACACAGCCACCCGTGTGCAGTGCCCACATCTAAACATGCATGCATGTGTACACATGCCCACACACATGTACATGTACACCAGTGCATGGCTACACGTGTGCACATGTATAAGCATGCTTATACATATATACCTGCATGCTTACCCACTTGTATATATATGCACACACCCACACAAGAGCAAACTTGTATAGGCACACATCTACACATGTATACACAAGTACAAGCACACAACTGCTCATATGTATATATATACATGTAGCTGCACACACCTAGATACCTACACTTGTGCACGTGTGCATGCACACATACACACCTGTGCATACAATGAGATACACATGTGCACACACGTGTATATCACATGTGTGCACACATGCCTCTGGCCCTGAATGACGGACGCATTGAGTGCTCTCAACCCACCCCTCACCTTCTTAGTGCCTGAAGTCCCACCTGCCCAATCATGCCAACCTGGAGGCCATCCCAGCCTGCCCAGGGGGACAGCAGAGTCTAAGGCCTATGGCAGAGCACAGATGATGGGGAGAAAGGCCTTAGACAGTGGGCAGCACAAGTATCACCTGCCCTTCGGGGTCAGCACCAGGAGGACCAGAGGGAGCTTGTCTTATGTAGCGATGGGGAACAGGCGGGGATCTGGGACTGCAGAGGTCAGGGTCCATCCTGAGGGAAGCTTTTCAGGGGTCTTGGCCTGAGGATTGGAAGCCCCCTTAGATAGGAGGCACCCGGATGGGGAGTGGGCACAGTGCTGTAGGGGCCTGGGTGCAGACAGGCAGCTGGGATGTGGGTGGCTGAGGAGGAGACACGCTCTGCCAGCAGGTACACAGGGTGTCAGAGCCTTGCTGACCAGGGCCCTAGCAGATCGCACCTTTCCGGGCGGGGGCCTTCTGGCCCTGAGCTCACAGGCCAGCAGGAGGGGCCTCGCCAATGGGCAGCCCAGCAGAAGGGTATTTATGCCTCCTCTTGGCCCAGAAAGTACTCTGGCAGAGGGGCCAAGAGGACAGGCAGCCCCCAGTGAGCGAGCCGCCGGCCCTGGGCTCAGCGCTGGTGCTGGGTGTGGGCCCAGCTGGCAGAGGCCCCACCTAACTTCTGGACGCTGCCACCAGTGCTAGCCACCGGGTCACCTGATGCCAACCCCACTCTGCCTCTCGTCTGCTCCCAGGAGCCCATGTTTACCTAACAATGGCACTGTCCTCGCCTGGGGGCAGCAGCCAGATTGGATGTGTCCTCCGAGCTGGACACATGAGAGCAGTCGGGAAGGAGGTGCCTGGCTCTGGCAGGGTGTTGGGGCTCCATCCTGGCTCCATCCCTTCTCTGCCCTGGCTCTGTCCCCACTCTGCTTGGCGGCCTCTGCCCCTTCACCCCTGCCGGCAGGACTGGTCAGGTTTCCAGCACTGGGACGTGCATGGGCACAGGGACCTGTGAGGGTCCGTGGTCTGAGACAGAGAGGCCTCCAAGGAAACCCTAGGGGCAGAGAGCACAAGTTCTAGTCCGGGCTCAGCGACCACAGCACCTCCCTCAGAGTGTCAGTTTCCCCTGTCAGCAGAGGCCACGCCCCCAGCCCTCAGGTGTGAGGAGAGGGGTCCTTTGGGTCTGGAAGTGTCATGTGAACCCAAGTGAGGGGCTGTGGCCTCACTGTCCTTCCTGGGCAGGTGCCTGGTGGAGGGTCAGCGAAACAGCAGGTCTGTGGCAGAGCCACGTGGGGGGCTCTAGAACCCCAGATGTCCAACCAGTGACTGGGCAAGCACGCCTGGTGCGAAATCGAGAAACCCTTCCATTCTGACAGAGGCCCAGCACCACGGCCCAGCCTTCAGATGGTGACTCTCCACTCCTTGCTCACACCCTTCCCTCTGGCAGCAAGGCCCCTGCTTCACAGCCCTGTCCGGGGTGCTTCCCAGCTCCCTCCGTGGGCCCCAGGGGCCATCCCTCAGGACACATCTCCGGCTATCTGCTTGATGTCCAGTGGACACACCAGGAGCCTTACTGGTCACCCAGCTGGTCCCTTGTTCACGGGTGGAGACACACAGGCCAGAGGGGCAGGCACAGAGAGCAGCCTCGAGGCCCAGAGCAGATGGGTAGACCTTGCATTTTCAGGGTGCAGAGTAACAGGGCTCCCCGATGTGCGGAGGCCTCAGGGTACACAGGAGGGGGGTGGGGGCTCCTCATAGGGTGTGGTGGGCCCAGGGCAGGGGTGGAGGGGAGAGGCCCAGCTGCCGGGCAGGTCCCGATTAGAAGCCGCAGCCTCTGCGTCTGTGCCCAGAGCTTAGGGCGGGGTTCACAGGAGCCAGGTTCCTTATCGGAGAGTCCTGGGGACAGAGTGACCAGCTGAGAGCAGGCCAAAAGAGGGCCCAAATGAATCCCATGGGTGTGCCCCACTGATGTCAGGCAGCACGGCCCTTTCACCCACCACACAGGCCAGGAAGGTTGTGGCCAGGGGTCCCTGGCGGCGGGCAGTGGGTGTGGTCTGGGCCTTTACTGTAGCCTGGGCCTTCCTGCCCCCTCACCCTCTGCCTCTCTGAAGGTCTCTTGTTTGTCCCCCATCCTGGGACCCCCTGAGGGCTTCCAGCACCAGGGCAGCCTCGGGGGGTGGGTGCTCTCCCACCTGCAGAGGGGTCCTGCTGGGGACCCTGGGGCAAGGGCAGTGGCTTTCCTGACCCTGTTACTCTCTGACCTCCTGCCTGAGGGGTGGCAGGATGACCCGTAATCTGAAAGGGGCCCTGGTGACACTGTGGGTTAAGCACGGGCTGCTACCTCAAGGTCGGCAGTTCAAACCCACCAGCCACTCCCAGGGAGACAAGCGAGGCTGTCGACTCCTGTAGAGGTTGGCTGCCTCAGAAACCCTAAGGAGCAGTTGGTCCCTGTCCGATGGGGTCACTCTGGGTCTGGTGGGGGTCTCTGGTTCCATCAAGAGGAGTGGCTGGTGGTCACATGCTGGTTGGTGTGGAGCGGGGCCTGGCACCTACCCCTCTCAGCCACCAGGCCCATCCCTCCTTAAGTGCACTGCCCCGCACCCCACCTCAGACTCCAGCTCACCCCAGGTGGGCGGTCAGTCCAGGACAGCGCGAGGCAGAGAAGGCAGGTGACCCAGAGCAGGTGGTCCCGCTTCCCCGTTCATCCCGAGCATGAAGGTGTGGGTCCATGAGGGGCAGGGATTGGTCTGCAGGCACCCCCAGGGCAGGGTAGCATCCCCAGCCTGGACTGCCATACAGCATGCTGGGCAGGCTCAGGCAGGCCCTTTCATGGACGTCCTGCGTAGGGCCAGTCCCCCTCCAATCTTCTTTCCCAAGACAGTTCCACCCAGACCCTCTCCCACCCGTCATCCCAGACAACCACTGGCCCACCCACCCAGGGGACAGGGCCTGCTCCGGTGCCTAGGTGGGCCCCGAGCCTTTTTCCTTGGAGAGTTCTAGGGCGGCCCGCAGCAGGGTCCAGGCCTAGGCTCTCAGCATCCGTCTTTCCAGGGAGGCAACAACGCGGGCCACACCGTGGTGGTGGACGGCAAGGAGTACGACTTCCACCTGCTGCCCAGCGGCATCATCAACAGCAAGGCCCTGTCCTTCATTGGTGAGCGGCTCTGTAGACCTCGCCCCCACCCTACCCCCAGGGTAACCTGCCGGGGGTCGTGTCCACAGCAACAGGAGTGTATGCCCTCTGCGAGGGTGTGTGTGTGTGTGTGCATGTGTGAGGGTGTACACCGGTGCCTCTGGTGGGTGTGGGTGTGCAAGTGTGTGTGTGTGTATGTGTGTGTGTGGCAGGCATATGGGTGAGTATGCATGTGTGGGTGCATGTGCATGCAGGCAGGGTGTGTGAATGTGCGTGCATGTGCGTATGTGTAAGTGTGCGAGTGTGTGCATGCATGCCTCTGGCGGTGTAAGTGTGTGTACAGGTGTGCTGCGTGTGCCTGTGCACCTGTCAGGGGGTGTGCATGTCAGAGGGCTCTGGCCTGCCCCCTTCAGTGTGGGGCAGAGGCTATGTGTACCCCAGACTTCTTCCTCAGACCAGGCACCCCTCACTCCCTAGGCAGCGCTGGGCCTGTCCTTGCTCCTTTGCACCACTGTCCCAGTAGCCAGGGAGCGCGGCCACAGGCACTAGGGCTGATCTATCCCTGGTCAGCCCCCCAAGGCCACCACGGCCCCGTAAACACCAGCAAATGCAGGGAGAAGTCAGCATCGGAATGCTGGCAGAGCAAGAGGGAGGTGACCTGTGTCTGTGCCCACAGCCCCTGTCCCCTGGCTGTGGCTGCTGTCAGACATGTGGGCACAGCACCTGCCTGGGCTGCCTGCCACCTCTGGCCCTGCAGCCTGGTGGAGGACACTCTGCCAGTGTCTCAGGAGCGGGGAGACGTGGGCAGGGTCAGCCCCATGTCAGGGTGCCCAGTGTTGTCCTGGCGCAGGCAGACATGCCCGAGCTGCCCCAGGCTTGCGAAAGCCGGGACCCAGTTGGTTATTTCGGGACGCCTGGCATTTCATGACCTTCTGTGCTCGGCCGTAGCTTGTGCACAGACGTCACCCCGCCTGCAGTGACGCCCGGGTCCGGGGGGAGGGGGGATGTAGAGTGCTGGCCGCCAGGCAGGTGGGGTGAGTGCCCAGCCCTTGAAGCTGCACACCCTCTGGGAGGAGTCAGGACCCCCACTTCCTGAGACAGAACTGTGCACACCCGCTGACCCTGTGCGTCAGATAGAACTGTGTCCGTGAGCGGGTCTCACAGCAGCCTTCCACAGTTCATCTGGGTGGACACCCACCCAGGCCATTCAGTGGGCAGCTGATATGTTACTGCCCCTCCCTCCGCCCTCCCCCCTGCCCCCCGGCCAAACAGGACTGTGTCTCTGAGGTTTCAAACACCACATGACCCGCCCCCTGTGCCACCATGGTCACCAGGACATTCCAGAACATTCTCATCGCCCCCAAGCTCCCTCCCTTCATCCCGCTCCCTGCAGTCAGTCAGCTTGCTTCCGGTAGCAGGGCTCCTTCCCAGAGCAGCTGGTGGCTCTCGGGGCGGCTGGGAAAGAAGAGGAGGCCCTCCCGCCCACCCAGGCAGGTGATACATTGTTACAGTTGGTCACGGAGAGCGATATATTGTTGCGACTGCAGGATGTACCCGCAGGTCCCTAACACCCCCTGTGCTAGAGGCTGGAGTCCAGCCAGGGCTGCCTTGTACAAACGTCTGTCCACCCATGCTAGGGAATCCACCTGGGGCATAGTGGGACTCTTGGAGGGCCTTGCCCAAGGGTCATCTGGTGGAGCTCGGTGGCTTTGTAACCTTTGTGGCGAGAGCCCCAAGTCTCCACAGCCCCGCTTGGCGCAGCTCACGTGTCCAGATGTGATATGACCAGTCACGGCCACTCTCTTATTCCGTGTCTCACAGGGAATGGCGTGGTCATCCACCTGCCCGGCTTGTTTGAAGAAGCAGAAAAAAATGAGAAGAAAGGTGCGTCCAGCCCAACCAGCCACTGGCCTCCGTGGGCCTGCGACCCGCCCTCAGCAGGCCACCCTCTGCTGTGCAGAGCTTGGGCCAAACGCTGACGCAGCCAGGTGGATGGCAAAGGTCCCAGGCTGGCCACTGCCCAGCTCCTGGGGAACCACTCAGGGAGGGGACCAAGGACTGGGATTGGAGGAAACTCCTGGAACCCTGATGTCAGCTGGGCCAGGACACCGGGCAGACGGCACAGCTGGGAAGATCGGGCATATCCAGCCCCATGGGGCAGGAAGGGGTGGTGCTGTCCAGATGAGGAGAAGAGGGAGTGCTGTTGCACAAAGCGGGCTCAGAAGGCCAGGCTCCTGGAAAAGCAGCTCTGTACCCACTCCTGCACAGGGACGGGATGTGGACGTGGGCAGGGATGTGGGCAAGAACATGGATGTGGGCAGGGGCAGGGACATGGGCAAGGCTCCCTTGGAGGAGGCAGTGGACACACCAAGGGGACAGCTTGCTTCCAGGGCCAGCAGCAAGGTTGGGGGGGTGGGCGGAGAACAGCCTGGGATGTTGGGGGGGCATCCCAGGCGGCAGGGGACAGGGCACGAGGGGAGGGCTGCGTGCTGGGGTGCCTGGTGGGGTGAGAACAGCAGTGTCCCTCACCCGTGTCCCCATAGGTCTCAAGGATTGGGAGAAGAGGCTCATCATCTCAGATCGCGCCCACCTTGGTAGGTCCGCTTAGAGGGGTGGTGCCCTGAGTCCTACCCAGCCCCCTCCTGCCCCCCTCCCTCCTGTTCTGCCACATACCACCCCCCCACCCTGGCCTTTAGCACCTGTCTCCATTGCCCTTTCCAAAGGGGCCCCAAGGGGAAACTGAGGCCTGGGGTCTCCCC